GTTCATATTAATTCCCTAATAAGCATAATAATTCATAATTTTTTGGTTCTAATCACATTTCAATTAAACTTGGAGACATAGATTTTCTGTTACATTGCGCAGACCTCATTAGTTTTACACTCAAATCTGGTCATATTAATTTTCTGATTTGCATAATTAGTTTTCAGCTAAGTAATTTCGAATTATATTTAATGTGTCTCCAATACTCTCAGCACATGGGAGTTCTTTCTAAGCTTTCTTTGATTGTTATGTGATGTTTCACTTTACAATTTTGATGTGTTCAAACATGTTGATTATTCACTGCATTGTAAATATATGAAATATGTTTTATTCAGATTTCGTAGCTAATAATTAATTTAATAACTACACCTTTGCAACTACATGTACACCAACTGTTGAAAATGTATTTTCTTTAAAAAAAAAGTTGGACCTTTATGACGACCAGCTTGATATTTACACTGTTTTTGTCATAATATCTGCAATACAAGATCAATTTCACTGTCACTTTAACTGTCTGGATGTCACATTTTAGTAATAGTCCATCATATTCTGAAGATATAGAATAGACTAGTGTGGTAACTTTTTTTTCAAACTTTATCTGTAGGAAACACTGCTATGAATTTAACTTTTAATAAATGTTTGTATTTGTTTATAACACATTTTATTTTACCTACAGCTTGTCGTCAGTGAAAGTAAATGGTAGTTTCTTATATTTCAGGTATGCCATTACTGTTTGGTATTTTGATACCGGAGAGAGGCTACGTGCAAAGCAAAGATATAGACTGCCAGTTGAAAGGTGAGTTACCTTCTTCATTGCCTGGGTTGTAATATTTCAATACCTGAGTTATAATATTTCAATACCTGAGTTGTAATATTTGAATACCTGGGTTGTACTTTTTTAGCTCCTCTGTCGACTTTGTCAATCGGAGCTTATCATATGAGTGGTTGTCCGTCGTCGTCCATGTCAATGTTTTACTTTTTCGACTTCTTCTTGGAAACTACAAGTCTGAATGCTTTGATACTTAGTGTATATGTACCTTGGGTAGACCTCTCTTAGACTTGTTCATTTCATAATGATATCTTCAATTTTCTAATTTTGGTGAATATTTTTGTCATTTTTGGTAAAAAGTGATATTTTTCGACTTCTTGTTAAAAAACGCAAGTCTGATTGCTTTGATACTACATATATAGGTACTACATGTGGACCTCTCTCAGATTTGTTCATTTCGTGATAATATCTTCAATTATCTAATTTTAATGATTATTTTTGTCAAGTTCGATTGCTTTGATAGTATACATATTGTTCACTTTCTAATGATATCTTCAGTTCTTTAATTGAATTGTGCATTGCTAACAGCGGAGCTATCTCAGCCGACAGGCTGCTTGTTAATACCTGGGTTGTACTATTTCAATACCTGGGTTGTACTATTTCAATACCTGGGTTGTACTATTTCATTGCCTGGGTTGTACTATTTCAATACCTGGGTTGTACTATTTCATTGCCTGGGTTGTACTATTTCAATACCTGGGTTGTACTATTTCAATACCCGGGTTGTACTATTTCAATACCTGGGTTGTAATATTTCATTGCCTGGGTTGTAATATTTCATTGCCTGGGTTGTAATATTTCAATACCTGGGTTGTACTATTTCAATACCTGGGTTGTACTATTTCAATACCTGGGTTGTACTATTTCAATACCTGGGTTGTAATATTTCATTGCCTGGGTTGTAATATTTCAATACCTGGGTTGTACTATTTCAATACATGGGTTGTACTATTTCAATACATGGGTTGTACTATTTCAATACCTGGGTTGTACTATTTCAATACCTGGGTTGTACTATTTCAATACCTGGGTTGTACTATTTCAATACCTGGGTTGTACTATTTCAATACCTGGGTTGTACTATTTCAATACCTGGGTTGTAATATTTCATTGCCTGGGTTGTACTATTTCAATACCTGGGTTGTACTATTTCATTGCCTGGGTTGTACTGTTTCAATACCTGGGTTGTAATATTTCAATACCTGGGTTGTAATATTTCAATACCTGGGTTGAACTATTTCAATACCTGGGTTGTACTATTTCAATACCTGGCTTGTAATATTTCAATACCTGGGTTGTAATATTTCAATACCTGGGTTGAACTATTTCAATACCTGGCTTGTAATATTTCAATACCTGGCTTGTAATATTTCAATACCTGTCTTGTACTTTAATTAAGATTCATTTTTTCAATGGGCGACTTCAGATGTGTGAAGTTTTGGTGCGGCTTAATTAGAGCAATCACTTCGGTAACAGTGCAACTCTAAGCGCACTTTCGGATTTTCACACACAGACAAACTTAAATTCATAAACATAAACATAAACTAAAATTCACACTGTACAACATACTGCACAATAAATAATATCTACAAACGGATTTGCAGATTACGGTACTGTATAATCTCTTGAATAGACGTCACAATTTAGACTTAGGGAAAATTAGTCAATAAAAAAAAAACTCACTCGCATTTATTTTCTCAATTTTGTTGATAACGAAAAGAATATTCTAAAAGAAGTTTCAAATAAAAACAAACATGAATGCATTGCTTATTAGCAAATGATCACGGTAGCGGTGTCACAATCCAGCCGGTCATGCTGCGTTTCACAAGTGAATAACTTACTTGTTTTCGAAGTGATACGATTGATGATTACAGCTCAGTAGCGATTACAACAACGTTGAATTGTGAAAATTCAACTTAGTTTCACCGCAAATGAATGATTTCGGTCACATGTAAACGCTCAATCTGATACGATGTCGGCCATGTTTGTCCAAGCACATTAGTGACTTGAAACTGTTCTGTGACCTGAACAGGTCAAGTCGCTAATTAACCAATCGAAACGCTGAATGGTGCCAACAAGTTCGAATTACCATAGCTCATTTAAATATGTTAATGTCGTTCATGGTGAACACAACACTGAAGAGATTTACTGTTGTTGTAGTGCGATAGTTTGGCTTTGATTTTAATGGAAAAACGGCATGATTTTTATTTTAAATCAAGAGATATCGTAGTTGTTTTCGAAAAATAAGCTGAGCATTGAAGAAGAATTTAACACTTTTTATGATGATAACAGCTCATTGTCGAAATGCAGTTTACTCATTCACACTACCCACAATAAACACTGTACTCTTGAATTGGCATCAATGACTATGGAAAACCTAAATTAGACTCTAATCTAGAGGTCAGAAAAGATTGAAATGTTTGAAAAATTATGCCTTAATTGAAAATTAAATGATATATCTTTTTCTGTATTGGCTGTTTGAAAGTTTGGGGTGCGGCTTATATTGCAGGCTTTTTTCTGGGATCAAAACTTCAATTTCAACATGAAACAATGTCTCAAGTTAGGGGTTTGGCCTCAAATATGATTTTTACGGTATTTCAATACCTGGATTGTACTATTTCTTTATCTGAACTGTGTAAGATCTAATTTTTAACTGATTTTGAAATTGTATTTATTTTCTTCTTAATCCCTGACTGGAACAGTCAACATTTTTTTTTCTGTTTTTTTCAGATGCAAAATTGCCTTATTTGACCAAGTCATTAGTTCAGTGTAGAACTGGTACATACACTTAATCAAAAAGAAGCATATAAATGTAGACATTTCATTTGTCATGTATTAATGTACAAAAAAAAGAGGCAGTGATATTTTCAATGGTTTGTTCCATTCCCCCCCCCCCGATTTGAATTTTGATACTATTAATGACTACGAAGCATGCCTTATGTAAGGATTTTGTGACCCTTTTGAACAGTTGTGAGTTCAATATACTTACATGAACTGTACATGAGCACATGGAAAAATCCCTCCTACACTAGTACAGTACACATACTGTGAACACTGTGGAGTATAATAACAGGACATTAAATGATAGCTTTGTAAATATAGCAATTATATGGTATTGAAATGTCTAGCATGATAAGATTACTGCCAGCCAGCCAGCTAGACTGACATGAGTAAACACTCGGCCACACCTTTGTTTCATTCATTGTTGGAAATTCTCATAACCTTTGACCTTCAGTGAATAAAATATATTAAAGACAGAATCAATAAAATAAAAGATGTAGTAAAATGCGAAAGGTTAGTCAGCCATTAAAACGAAAAAAAAATGGGTCAAGGTCATGCAAGTATCGTCAAAAAAAAGTAGGTCACAGCTTCATTATTCAGAGCAGTTTGGATTGAGGGGGAGGGTTAGTGAAAGCTGCATATTTATAATGTTTAAACGACAACAACATCAGTAATGGTGTCTCTTATGCTCTCTCTAATCCAGTCACTTACCATCATATAAATAAAAGATATATAAAACTATCACGTGAGAGATTTCACATCAACATGTATATAGATGTTATTTATTGCATATCTGCTGGCGTGGTACTTGGGGGTCACCAGTACTTTGTCCAGCTGAATTATTCACTCTAAAAATAAATTTGAAAAATGTTTTTGTTTTTTTACTGAAATTATAAGTGACAAAGAAGTTTTTTTTGTTTAAAGAATTATTTTTAATTCTTTATTAGCAATTAGTGACAGAATTTGTATGCAAATGAGATGATGATGTATTTCGTGTATGGAATTGCAAACACATGTCCCTACATTTCTACGACCTACGGACTGTTGGGTTCATGACCCACTAACCCTGTTGGTGATAGAAGTGTGGAATTTGTTTTTCACTTAAACAATGATTAACTAAGGTGTCCTAAATGTGGATTTACTGTCTAGTACCTTATCTGTAGTAATACGTGTACAATGTGACTGTTGGCTTATCATATTGACGTTGTCATTCCATGTCTGTTACAGTGAGAAACATCCAAAGTGGACTCCTCAACATCATCCGTTGCCTGTTACTAACGAAGTGCCACACCCTCCTGAATGGAGCGCCAGGTACATGAACGACAACACTTAGCTACAGACATTTACAACGTTCACGTGTACCTTATTAAGAAACTTACATCATGCGATGATTTCACTATTTTGTATAGAAAACTGTATTTAAAACAGTAGCACAAATATCTATACATGACTATTTTTTTTTTTATTACACTTATTACAATACTATATGTGCAAATTTGTTTTAATTAATATAGTCACAAGCTTTGGATGCGTTGGCGCAAGTTTTTTTCAAAGCTTTTTTTTTTTCAAATTAAAAGATGAAAAATAATTTTAGTCATAACGTTTACTGGTATAAACATTTATACAAAATTAAAAATAATAACCTTCTATCTATACATATGCCTGAAAAGGTGTCTTATTTTTCATTTGGTTTATATTATTTGAAATGCTTATTTAAGTAATAGTTTCGTCATCGAAAAAATTCCATGCTAAATTGTACATGATTTCTTGCTGTTCTCCCAAGGAAATTAGCATATAGTGTTATGACTAATTAACATAACAATTGAATATGTCTATACCATAATTGAATATCATCTATATAATATAATATACATTGTTATGGTAATAGGGGTCCCTACTTTATATTGCTCTGGGGAGAACACAGTCTCAGCAAATTACTTAAAATAAAAGCAAGTCATCATCAGTATGTTAATGGAATGTGTTGGGACAGGTGGATGATGATAGCTGACTTACTTGTATGACCTATGGTAGTTATTTGTAATATGCTAAAGAGGTCAGGTTGCCACATAGAGAACCACGCCATTGGTAACATTCGGCAATGTGTTGTACCGTGAAATCTGTGTTAGAAGCCGCACCTATTCTTTTTTTAACAATTGCGAACCCAAATTTCACCATTTCTCATATGTGTAGATGCTCTAATAGAAGTCGCATCCTATCTGTTGCATTGTACCATTTTAATAGAAGTCACAGCTTCTAATACAGATTTTACAGTAATCTATCTTTCTTAAACATTGCATAGAATAAAGTAACGTTATGTAAATTTTAAAAAGCACAACAAATACAAACAAGTTGAATTAATAAACTTATCTTTACCCCCACCATTTATATATAGCTCTCAACAGCATTACATGTATTAGTTTTTTATTGTTGAAGTTACCAACTAAACTGTTACTGATCATCATACGAAAATTTGTAAGTGGTATTCATTACTGCTTTTTTTATAACCACATTTTGAAATTAGTTTGGGCTGTGGTAACTTGAGTTATTAGAGTTGTCATAACAACAACAACCATGAAAACTTGTTAAGTTCTTTATAATTAACACTCTCATTAACCATTTTCTTAGTGTCTTAATGTTTCCATATACACAGATTTTTCTCAACATATTTATGTAAATAATACATTTTTTTTCAAGTGTTATTTCTTTAAAAAAAATATACATGTATATATGTTTAAAATACAGACCATATCCTTTGCTTTTGAACATGTATTTATCACGGTTCATTTCTTTAAAGGGAGAAGCAACACTGACATTTTGTTAGCTCCTGTGTAGGCGATTGCATTCCGATTAATTAAAATCATATCTGCTTTACACATCTCACTTGTTTGAACAATGAATGGTCAAAAAGACAAAAAGTGCATTAGCTATTATATAGGCTTGAGTATCCTATAGCATTTATTATATACACTTTATATATGAGGGCAAGGGAACACTGTTCTGTTTATTATTTCCAATTATGCTGCCATCATTTGTTTGCGTATAAAATAATATCCACTGTCCTGTTGTTAGGTTTCATTAATTAATAAATTAGTGAATATTTGATATAATGAGATCTACCTATACAGGGTGCAGTCGTCTACGTGCATGAACTAGCAACGTTTATTCCCCCCTAACAAAAATTATCCACCGCAAACAAACTTTTGGGTGTGTATTTTTGTTTGGCAGCTGTGTAAATTAAATGTTTTTAAAGCGTGTGAAAATTTTGTTAGTTATTATTAAACCTAACATATCTATGGTGTTGAATTACTATGCCATGTTACACATCACAATAGTATTAATAGTCATATCATCTATAATGGCACTAGTTTGGTCGGGTATTTCATTCAACTTGCATAATTATCTTCTTTATCAAAGTATTAAACATTGTACGTAATGATAAAAATCTTTATAGCATTGTAATATCATGGTGTAAATGTGATTGTAAAGTAACCATGTAAAAAAAAAACAGTATTTAATTCAACAAATGTGTTATTTCATTCTTCGCCAGTTTGTAAATGCAATGTGTACAAAGTTTTTCTTTGCTATTATTGATAATTTAAAACTGTGCTGTATTAGTTACGTTTCAAATGTTATATAGGAAAACAAACAAATAAGTTCATATTTCTTAGTTACTTTACTACCGGTAATATGAATTCCTAGTCTTCAGTGATCTGACATTGGTGGCAGCAGTGAGAATTTTGCAAGTTTTTGATGCTTGTAATTTAGCCCTTTTGAATGCTGAATCTTTGCCATGTCACTCTGGTGGCAGTGATGGGTTGCTAAAGCTTTGCCATGTCACTCTGGTGGCAGTGATGGGTTGCTGAAG